GGTGAAGAATACTAAATTCTCAGGAATGGATACATGAAAAAAAACATAAGGGATGAAAACAAATTTCAGGTAAGGAAAGTAAGAAATGATGAAAAGGAATTGGTTTAAACTTCTTGGCCTCTAATGTCTATGGTGCAGTAGGAAACAAGGTTATATCTGCTGAAAAGTGAGGGGTACACAAGTGGGCACAGTGAGCATGAGGTGAAGATAAAAGTATTAAATAATCACTATGCATAATGGAAAGACCCATGTAATAAGAGGGGTCAAAATTCTGTTGGAAATCGTTGTCTTTAATAATCTCCAATCTGAGAACAATCTCTCTCTCCTCTGAACCTACATCATTCTTACTGTTCATTCTAGTATGAACTATAATATAAATACAAAGCAGTATATGGGCTGGCTGTACATATTCTCCATCCCAGGATAATGCGTTCCTAGATAGTATGGTCCACGTTTTCTGGCTCTTGATAAGCTCCCATGATGCCTTTTTATGGTGTCTAATCCTGTCAATTTTTAGGGGGTTTTAGGAAGTAAAAAAGGGAAAGACTTTGAGAACCAAGACCAGTATAGAGATAATAAAATTGTAAAAGCACGGTTTGCTTCAAGAAACTCAGTGTTTTCCCAGTGATCATAAAATAAAAACCAGACACTTTAATATGACATAAGGCATCCCTATACTCTGTCCTTAACTTTGGTATCTAGACTCATTCTTCAAGCATTCTGCACGTTCCTCATCTTCATGCCTTTGGTAATAACTTTCCTCTCCCATGTCTGCCTGTCAAAGTCTTATCCTTCATCAAGAATCAGTTCAGATGCCACTCCCTCCATGAAATCTTCCCCATTCATACCTCGAAGTAGGAAGTGAAATCTCCCTTTGTACTCTTAAAATGGTGTATAAGTTTATTTGAACACTGTTTACATTTAGTTTTGTGTTTATCTAATTCCCTCTACTAAAATGTAAGCTACTTGAGATGAGTGATAGTGTCCTGGATCAGGGTACATTCCCTCAATCTTTATCACTAATGCTTGATACTACATTCATCTGAGAAAGCTAGAACTTAATAAGTAATACCTAGGAGCAAGCAGGTTGCATAATAGTTAGGACACTAGACTCCCACATGGTCAACAGCAGTTCGAGTCCTAGACCTGGCAGCTTGAAACTCACACCAGGTTTGTGTATGTGTGCATGCACAAAATCCTGAGAGAAGAGACTGCATTGTGACCATTCCCCCTAGGGGCTAGTTTTTCACTTTCTCTCTCTGTCTCTCTGGCAAGCATGTGTGCCCTATAGCAAAAATCTCTTGGGAAAAAAAAAAGGATACCTGATCTTAAGCCTCACTCTACTGTTCCATAGTGTTTTCTCATTAGTTTTTCAGCTTCTAAACTCCTTAAAAATCCCTTTTTGTTTAACTATAGTTATCCATTTGTAATTTATCCTAAAAAAAATTATTTAAAGAGGAAAGGAACACAGGCCAGCAGGTGGCATGGAGATTAAGGAGCTGGCTAGTTCTAATAAAAATACAAGTATAAAAAAATACTTTACAAAATACTATTTCAAGGGTAAATTACCAATTAATCAGAATATGAAAATGATCCCTAAAAATCCCGATTGTGTCTTCAATCACAAATTGGACAGATTCAAGAAATATTAACTCAACATCAACCATGTACAGAGCACTACATTAGAAGAAACAGAAAATGCTCTGTTTTAAATATACCACATAAATATGATGTCTGCTATAAATTAATATTGGCACTATATCTTTCCAACCTTTTTAGATACATCTTGTTTCAGTTCTTGTACAGGAGATTCATTTCCAGTTTTGTATGCAGTGTTCTCTGTTTCCTGTTTAAAAAAGAAGAAAAAAATAGAAATTAATGACATTCTTTCTTTAAAAAGAATGTCATTAAAGAGGATACAAATGAGAAAATATAACATAAATAAATGCTATAGGTTTACAAAGGGCTTAGATGTCTGTACACCGATATTGACAGATTTTATGCCAACTGGGACAATGTAAATTCCATAGGTTACCAATGAGTAATTTTTAATTTTTCTACTGCAATACCACAATTACTTTAAATGTGAAAAGCTGCCTAACTTTTTAACATTATAAATTGTAAGAGAAGATAACACATTCTAAGAACCTTTGTAGCTGCAAAGTATTAAGGACTTAAACAACGGGTTAAATCAGAATTGTTTCCCTCCCAACATATTGCTCCATAAATATGCATAATAAATATAAAAATATATAACACAGAAAACCACATTCAGAACAGTTTTCTTAAAATTCTATGCTTTAGAATCAATATTTAACCAAAAGTTAGATGATGTCCCCAAACTAGCAACAGAGGAAAAATTTATACCCACCAAAAATACATATATATCTACGTATACATTTTTATAAAAATACGTACATATATATATATACTTGGGAGGTTAGAGAGATTAGAAACAGATAATGCATTTCTGCTGTGGAAAAAAACTAGGGTAAAATAAAACAGTTATAAATCTGCAAATCTTAACATGACATTCTTTTCTATCTTAAATTTTTTCTATATTTATAGAATTATAGCAAATTAAATGCTACTATTGATACTGAGAAAGAATCCGTAATTCTCAGTGTACGTCACACAACATTATTAGAAGAGGGTTTCTATATTCATTTTTGACATATATGGATGTACTTAAGTATTTAGATGGCACTTATACAGTATTAGGATATGATGATGATAGGCTACCGAATACATTACTCCAGAGAATTACAATGCTTATTTTTTTTTTAGGTTTTACCACAAGGCGCATACACTCACTGGAGAGACAGAGAAAGAAAAAGTGAAAAATAACTCCCCCTCCCCTGCCCCAGGGAGGATGGCCATGCCACAATCCTGTCTCCTCCAGTCTTCTCTCAGGGTTTTGGGCATGCACACATGTGCTTGGAATGATCTTCAAGCTGTTGGGTCCAGGCTTCAAACCAGTCAGTCATGTGAGATCCAGGCACCTTAACCTCTATACTATCTCTGGTCCAGACATTCTATAGATCTTTGACACGAAGAGTTGTTTCATTAAATTTCTACCCAGCATTTCAGAAATACTATCAATCACAGAGAATCTTTTAGAGAAAAATTATTTTGCAGTCTTAAGTATTAGGTAGAATTCCAACTCATCTGAAGACTATGAGGGCCTAACATAACATAGATCCTGCCTACCTCTTTGAATATCTTCTTTTTCTTATCTCCTCTCCTACCATTCCCCCACAATTACTCCAGTCAAATGAATGGTTCCTTGCCATTAGGGTCATAGCTCAAGTGTTACTTCATCAGAAAAGCCTTTCTAGATCATCTTAAAATAGCTTTGTCCACCCTGACTTGCTTTTCTATTCTATTATTTTTGTTCATTTGTACTGATCAACATTTGAAATGACTTTATTACTAACTTAATTTTTGTCCCTACCCCACTAAAATGTAAGCTCTGGGAGAGCAGGGAACTTTTTTGTTCTGTCTACCACTATTTACTGACTATCTAAAACAGTGCTTGGCACTAAGCAATTGTTTTTTGAATGAATGCTGAATAATATGTGCTCTGGTTTTTCTTCAGTTAATACATATATCTTAAGTTTACATATATCCTTTAATCAAATCCTGGTTTTAAACTAAAGAAAAAAATCAATTATTATGATAATCATTTTTGTTTTGGGGAGATTTTTTACTATAGGGCACATGGGGTTACTGGAGAAAAAAAGACAGAAAGTGAGAAATTCCCTCCCCCCCACCCCCTGGAGACAGCCATGCTGCAATCCCTTCTCCTTCATTCTCTTGGGATCTGGGGCGTACATGCACATGCACTCAGTGTGAATTTTAGGCCGCCAGGTCTGGTACTCAAACCGGGTTAGCTGTGTAGGAGTCCAGCGCCTTAACCACTATGCCACCTACTGGTCCCAGTATGATAATCTTTTTTTTTTTTTTGAAGAGGTTTTTGCTATAGGGTGTGTGTGCTCGCCAGACAGACAGAGAGAGAGAGACAGAGAGACAGAAAGCGAGAAATCACCCCCTAGAGGGGATGGTCACACTGCAATCCCTTCTCCTCCATTCTCCTCTTGGGATCTTGGGCACGCACGTACATGCGCCCGGCGTGAGTTTAAGCCACCGGGTCTGGGACGCGAACTGCAGTCAACTACATGGGAGTCCAGCAACATAGCCATTATGCTAACTGCTGGTCCCCCAGTATGATAATTTTGACAAGAGGAATGGGGACAATTAATGCATTTGAGAAACATCTTTAACCATCCTACCAATTAAATATCTTTACCCAATTATCCTCCAATAACTGTTCATTAGTAGGAAAATCAGAAGCACTGTACAACTTAATTCCATGGATATTTTCCCTATATTAAGCTAAGCAAAAATACACATTAACAATTCCTAAACCAACTTCAGTTTATTTTAATTACATACTTACAAATATCAAAGATTAACTATCTCACACTGACCAAAACGGCAAAGCAGTGATTAGACTTCTATTTTATTTGGCTTTAACAAAACTCTCTTAGACTTTGAACTTTTGAAATATAGCAACTCCTATAAAGTAAACTGCTATTAAGTCACAAGTTAAAAGGAGTGATATGGCACCTACCAGAGGACCTGATGTCCATAGAATTTAATCAGATTTCTTAGTAAAACCTGACTTAGTATATATAGTAAACAATGACTCTCTCCCAGTGTATAAGGCCCAGGTCCTTGTTGTAACACCTCAATTAGTCTCTGGGGATAAATCACTGGAAGCCAAGCATGTGCCTACAAACACCACCACCAATTTAAGCTATAACTGCAACAGTCCTCATTTATTAACTCCACTACAAAAATGCATTACTTGCTAAAATTCCAGCGTTCCCACTATCAGTCCACTTCTTAAGGAGACATACTTGCTTAAAAAGTATGGCAGATCATTAAATTTCTATTAATTCATACTACAATTATATTTCATCCATCTGTGTTGGATATTAGACAGCTACTGTCTGTACCTCTCTCATAGTTTTTGGTTATAAAATTTGAGCTTTTCAATTTTAATAAGCATACCCAACAAAAGTGGTCTAGATTCATAGAAATCTTCATTATCTACTAAAGAACATTAACCTAAAAACATTAATTATATAGAAAAAGAAAAAATCTCCTCAGGTAACTTCTAGTTTTTAGTAGTAAGAAGGGAAGCTATTTAACAGTGATTAAAGTGAAATAAGGCAATTTTTAAATTTAGAAATGTGACTTCTACTCTTTTTTGCTGAGGAAATTTTTAAAAAGGAAACAACTCTTAAATCGCTGTTACAGCCATCCATCCCTTTCAATGCTATTCCACTTGTTAGTCTTACATGTTGACATTGTAACTGTCTCTTTAGCAGTTTTCCCTGAACTTGTCTCTTTCCTTCAAACTTTCTTCCACCAGTTTTTCTTAATTCTCTAGTTTATTGCCCCCGCCCTACAACTACAAAAACAAAATAAAACAAAAAACTACACCTTGGGCAGTACAGCTGTGAGAAATATAAAAATTGACTTTGTTATACATAACATGCACTCAATAGCCTTTGATAACCACAGAATAGTACTTAGCAATGAAAAGGAACAAACCACTGTTGGACACAGCAACTTTGATGGATTGTAATCCTTTCAGCCAAAATTAAAAGATCACATACTATATGATTCCATTTATGGAACGCTCTGAAAATGATAAAATTATAGTGATGGAAAACAGATTTAGGAATGGTGTGGCGAGGTGATAAGTAAGACTATAAAGGGATAGCACAAGGGAGATCTTTGTGATGTCAAAATAGATCTGCATTTTGATTGTGGAGGTAGTTACACAAACATACATATGTGATAAAATGATGTAGAACTATATACTTGCATTGTGTCAAAGTCATATTCCTGGTTCTGATATTATGCTATAATTAAGATGTAACTACTGGAAAATCTTAGTGAAGGATACATAGAACCTCTCTGTACTATCTTGACAGCTTCCTATGAATCTATAATTATTTCAAAATAAAGAATAAAAAAAGAACAATTTCCAACTTCATATTTTTTACTAAATATGCACATTTACTATCTAATTTTACTCAACTTAAGGACAATCTGTAATTACTGGGGTAAATTCCCCAAACCTATTTTTTATAACCTAAAAATATCTTTGAGTTAAGTGGCTTTTAAAACCCATAAGAATAAACGAGCAATTGCCTCTGGACATGCAGCCTGGGAAATGGAGAATTAGAACTAGGGAGAAAAGGTACATTTTCAACCACATATGTACTTTTTATAGCAAATTTTAGCAGCCTACATGTGTTACTTTATTTTTATTAAATACTAAGTAAATATAATTTTTATAAAATAAAAGGAACAAAGAATTGATATAACCTTTCTTAAGCATTTAAGAAAAAATTATTATTACTATTAGCTTTCAAATCTCTTGTGTATCTTTCTCCATTTCCATTATATTCTCGCCCATCCCCCCAGAAGGCTGGCATCCTAAAATTTGTGTTTACTATTTCTTTACCATTCTTTAGTTTTATAATGATTTTATACCTAAATTATCTTTTTCTAAACATATATTCTTTAATTTGGCATGCATTTGAACTTTATATAAATAGAAACTTACCTTACTGTATAATTTTTCTATGCCTTCCCCTCCCCAACACCCTGGTGCTGAAACTCATCCATGTTATTGTGTATAACTAGTTCATTCATTTCCACTGTTGAACAGTATTCATATAAATATAACAGAAGTTATCAAAGAGACTGGTACCTAACGTATATAACCAGAAAGTAGGTACATATACCGGAACAGAAAAAAAAATAGAGCATGTTCAAGATTATATATACATATGTACACACACACAAATATATATACTGTAAGATGTATACAGCTGACCCTTGAATAACATAGATTTGAATTACATGGGTCCAGATATAAAGCCAAATTCTAAAAAATTTGTGGGGCCAGCAGGTGGTGCAGTGGTTAAGTGTGCTGGACTCCCACATGGCCAACTGCAGTTCAGGGCCTGGCCCTGGTGGCTTGCTTTCTCACTACCTCCCACTCTCTGTCCCTCTCTGGTCAAATCTAAATAAATAAATAAATAAATAAGGTTAAATAAAATATTTTTAAAATTTTATTTATTCATTCATATTTTAAAATTTGACCAGAGAGAGACACAGAGAGAAAGAGGAAAAGTGAGAAAGGCAAGCCACCAGGTCCAGGACTCGAACCATGGTTGTCCATGTGGGAGTGTCCAGCACCTTAACCACCATGGCACCTGCTGGTCCCCTAAATAAAATAATTTTTTAAAAAGTCTTGCTTTCTCATTTTCCCTCTCTGTCCCTCTCTGGTCAAATTTAAATAAATAAATAAATAAATAAGGTTAAATAAAATAATTTTTAAAAATAATAATTTGTTATGAGGCCAGCAGGTGGCATGGTGGTTAAGGTGTTGGACTTCTACATGGCCGGCGTGGTTTCAACCCCAGACCTGGTGTGAGTTGCTTTCCCATTTTCCCGTTCTCTGTGTTTCTCTCTGGTGAGCACCTGAGCCCTGTAGCAAATTAAAAGAAATATTAATAATAAAGAAATTTTAAAAAAAATTTATAAAAATAACAATAATTTGCTATATATAAGGCACATGTGCTCACTAGAGGTGATGGTGAGAAAATAAGAGAAGGAAAGTGAGAAAGCATCCCTAGGGAGCATGGCCATAGCACAATCATTTGTCCTCTGCTCTCCTCTTGGGATTTTGGGCATGCATGCACATGCAGCCATGTGTTTTCAAGTCACCAGGTCTAGGACTGAAATCATACAGTCAGCCATGTAGGATCCAGCTGCCTTAACCACCACACAACCAGCTGGCCCTCCAAGGAGATATTTTTCAATAAATACTATAAATGCATTTTCTGTTCTTTAATATTTTAATAATGTTTTCTTTTCTATAGCTTACTTTATTGTAAGAATACAGTATATAATACCTATAACACATGAAATATATGTTAATTGCCTATGTTATCAGTAAGGTTTTTGGTCAATAATAGGCTATTAGTAGATAATAACTTCTGGGGAAATCAGAAGTTATACATGGATATTCAACTGTTTATGTGTGTATGTATGTGTGTGTGTGTGTGTATAGGGGGGTGGAATGCGTGCCCTTAACCCCCTTGTTGTTCAAGGGTCAATAGTACTCTACTTGACACAAATAGTTCTGTTTGTTGATATTCCTGTACAGCCCTTTCCTTACAGCATATTTACTTAGGTATTTCTAGAGTACCTAATTATATGGAGTGGGATATAATGACAATATTACTGAGCAAAAAATAGGAATGCAAAAGTGAAGAATTATATAAAAATGAAACATGAATAAAAAGAATACAAAATGTCTTAAGTATAACTTTCAAAATACACAACTTACTTTAAATGTTGAAAGCCCAACTTTTCCTGGAGACCTGTTTGGAAAAAAAAGCAAGAAGGCGTTTAATGGAGATAAGAAGGGAAATTCTTTCATACTTAATCAAGACAAACCCATCTTTTTTTAAATGTATATATTTTAGATTGAAAAGTATTGTGCATAGAAAATGTGGGAACATAAACAAGTAGAGAAGAAAATTAAAGTGATCCTCACATCTTACCACCTGGAGATGAGTATATGTTTCTTCCTGGATACATACATACATACATACATACACACATACGTACATATGTGTCTGTGTGTGTGTATATATATACACATATACTCACAGTACAACTGACAATGTAACATAGTACTGAAACCATATCCTTATAAATCAAAAATTGTGAACCTCCATGATTAATTTTCTTAAATAAAAATCTTTAGAAGTAGAATTGCAAGACAAAAATACACAAACTTTGGGGACCAGCAGGTGGTGTGGTGGTTAAGGTGCTGGACACTCCCACGTGGCTGAACATGGTTCAAGTCCCGGACATGGTGGGTTGCTTTCTCACTTTCCCTTTCTCTTTCTGTGTGTCTCTCTGATCAAATTAAATAAATGAATAAATAAAATAAAATACACAAACTTTTCAGAAGTTTGAGATACTTTCAAATTGTCTTCTAAAAGTCATACTAATTTATACTCCCATTGCTCTACAAATGCTTATTTCTTAATACCTCTGCCAATAATGTTATTTTAACATTTTTACCAATTTGACAAAGACTCTCATTGTTGTTTTAATGTATACTTCTTTGATTTCTTTTTTAAATGAAAATTTTCATATGCATTAAACATTTACATTGTTTTTAAAGAGAAATACCCATTTTTATTCTCAGCTCATTTTTCTACTGTAGCAAAACTCTATTCTTAAACATTGAATATTCTGGATATAACAATGTGTGTGTGCCCATGGGCTTGTGCAGGTTATGTGTATGATTTTTTAAAAAAAGGTTTTTTGACATAGGGCATATGCACTCACCTGAGAGGGACAGAGAGAGATGCTGAGAGGGAAAGTGAGAAACACCCGTGGAAGGATGGCAACACCGTAATCCTTTTGCCTCCACTTTCCTACTGGGATTTTGGGCACATGCACCTGGAGTGTTTTTCAAGCCTCCAGGTCCAGGACTTGAACCTCAGTTGGGCTATGTGGGAGTGTAGCACCTTAACCACTAGGCCATATGCTGGCCCTGTGTGTGACATTTTTTAGACAGGATCTTGCCATGTGTCAATTCTTCTGCCTCAGCCTCCCAAGTAGCTGGGGCCACAGGTACATGCACCATGCCCAGTTCTTTCAGATAGTGTCTTACTATGTTGCCCATGCTGGCTGTAAGCTCAAGATCATCCTGCCTTAGCCTCCCCAGTAGCTGGGACTACAAGCAAGCATCACCATGTCCAGCTTTTGAGGGTGGGGTGGGAATCAAACTTGGCTTCCCATGTTGTGTCAACCTAGCAAACAGCAGCATTCAGCATGCACTACTATGACGACCCTATGTGTTAGTGAAAGAGAGTGCACAAGTGCACACACACGCATTTAGAAGGGATGGGTATTTTTGACAAGGTCTTTCCATGTTGCCATCCTTCCTGTCCCAGATTCACAATTAGCCAGGACCACAAGCACACCCCACCACGCCTGGCCTGTCTAGGTTGGACAAGGTATCAAACCCTGGCCAGCCATGCACCCCCAGCCATTGCACCATTTAAATAAAATAATTTTTAAAAATAATAATTTGTTATGAGGCCAGCAGGTGGCATGGTGGTTAAGGTGTTGGACTTCTACATGGCCGGCGTGGTTTCAACCCCAGACCTGGTGATTTGCTTTCCCATTTTCCCGTTCTCTGTGTTTCTCTCTGGTGAGCACCTGAGCCCTGTAGCAAATTAAAAGAAATATTAATAATAAAGAAATTTTAAAAAAAATTTATAAAAATAACAATAATTTGCTATATATAAGGCACATGTGCTCACTAGAGGTGATGGGGAGAAAATAAGAGAAGGAAAGTGAGAAAGCATCCCTAGGGAGCATGGCCATGCTGCAGTCCCTTCTCCTCCATTCTCTTCTCGAGATCTTGGACACACATGCACATGCAGCCATGTGTTTTCAAGTCACCAGGTCTAGGACTGAAATCATACAGTCAGCCATGTAGGATCCAGCTGCCTTAACCACCACACAACCAGCTGGCCCTCCAAGGAGATATTTTTCAATAAATACTATAAATGCATTTTCTGTTCTTTAATATTTTAATAATGTTTTCTTTTCTATAGCTTACTTTATTGTAAGAATACAGTATATAATACCTATAACACATGAAATATATGTTAATTGCCTATGTTATCAGTAAGGTTTTTGGTCAATAATAGGCTATTAGTAGATAATAACTTCTGGGGAAATCAGAAGTTATACATGGATATTCAACTGTTTATGTGTGTATGTATGTGTGTGTGTGTGTGTATAGGGGGGTGGAATGCGTGCCCTTAACCCCCTTGTTGTTCAAGGGTCAATAGTACTCTACTTGACACAAATAGTTCTGTTTGTTGATATTCCTGTACAGCCCTTTCCTTACAGCATATTTACTTAGGTATTTCTAGAGTACCTAATTATATGGAGTGGGATATAATGACAATATTACTGAGCAAAAAATAGGAATGCAAAAGTGAAGAATTATATAAAAATGAAACATGAATAAAAAGAATACAAAATGTCTTAAGTATAACTTTCAAAATACACAACTTAATTTAAATGTTGAAAGCCCAACTTTTCCTGGAGACCTGTTTGGAAAAAAAAGCAAGAAGGCGTTTAATGGAGATAAGAAGGGAAATTCTTTCATACTTAATCAAGACAAACCCATCTTTTTTTAAATGTATATATTTTAGATTGAAAAGTATTGTGCATAGAAAATGTGGGAACATAAACAAGTAGAGAAGAAAATTAAAGTGATCCTCACATCTTACCACCTGGAGATGAGTATATGTTTCTTCCTGGATACATACATACATACATACATACACACATACGGACATATGTGTCTGTGTGTGTGTATATATATACACATATACTCACAGTACAACTGACAATGTAACATAGTACTGAAACCATATCCTTATAAATCAAAAATTGTGAACCTCCATGATTAATTTTATTAAATAAAAATCTTTAGAAGTAGAATTGCAAGACAAAAATACACAAACTTTGGGGACCAGCAGGTGGTGTGGTGGTTAAGGTGCTGGACACTCCCACGTGGCTGAACATGGTTCAAGTCCCGGACATGGTGGGTTGCTTTCTCACTTTCCCTTTCTCTTTCTGTGTGTCTCTCTGATCAAATTAAATAAATGAATAAATAAAATAAAATACACAAACTTTTCAGAAGTTTGAGATACTTTCAAATTGTCTTCTAAAAGTCATACTAATTTATACTCCCATTGCTCTACAAATGCTTATTTCTTAATACCTCTGCCAATAATGTTATTTTAACATTTTTACCAATTTGACAAAGACTCTCATTGTTGTATTAATGTATACTTCTTTGATTTCTTTTTTAAATGAAAATTTTCATATGCATTAAACATTTACATTGTTTTTAAAGAGAAATACCCATTTTTATTCTCATCTCATTTTTCTACTGTAGCAAAACTCTATTCTTAAACATTGAATATTCTGGATATAACAATGTGTGTGTGCCCATGGGCTTGTGCAGGTTATGTGTATGATTTTTTAAAAAAAGGTTTTTTGACATAGGGCATATGCACTCACCTGAGAGGGACAGAGAGAGATGCTGAGAGGGAAAGTGAGAAACACCCGTGGAAGGATGGCAACACCGTAATCCTTTTGCCTCCACTTTCCTACTGGGATTTTGGGCACATGCACCTGGAGTGTTTTTCAAGCCTCCAGGTCCAGGACTTGAACCTCAGTTGGGCTATGTGGGAGTGTAGCACCTTAACCACTAGGCCATATGCTGGCCCTGTGTGTGACATTTTTTAGACAGGATCTTGCCATGTGTCAATTCTTCTGCCTCAGCCTCCCAAGTAGCTGGGGCCACAGGTACATGCACCATGCCCAGTTCTTTCAGATAGTGTCTTACTATGTTGCCCATGCTGGCTGTAAGCTCAAGATCATCCTGCCTTAGCCTCCCCAGTAGCTGGGACTACAAGCAAGCATCACCATGTCCAGCTTTTGAGGGTGGGGTGGGAATCAAACTTGGCTTCCCATGTTGTGTCAACCTAGCAAACAGCAGCATTCAGCATGCACTACTATGACGACCCTATGTGTTAGTGAAAGAGAGTGCACAAGTGCACACACACGCATTTAGAAGGGATGGGTATTTTTGACAAGGTCTTTCCATGTTGCCATCCTTCCTGTCCCAGATTCACAATTAGCCAGGACCACAAGCACACCCCACCACGCCTGGCCTGTCTAGGTTGGACAAGGTATCAAACCCTGGCCAGCCATGCACCCCCAGCCATTGCACAGTAGCATCCTCTTGCCTATTTCATCACAACTGGGCCAATAAAATAATTTTTAAAAGATAACTTTTTTCCAATTACTTTCACCCCTTTTCCCACTTTTCTTTTTTCCCTAAATAGGAACAGTCTGATATTTTCTTCAAAGCATGGAGACATACCCTTATGCCCACTTATTATACTTAAATGTTACACAATAATTAACAGTTTTAAATAACTAATATGCCAGGGAACCAGCAGTTAGTGTAATGGCTATGTCGCTGGACTCCCACGTAGTCGACCGCGGTTCGCATCCTGGACCCGGTGGCTTAAAACTCACGCCGGGCGCGTGTGTGTGCATGCCCAAGATCCCGAGAGGAGAATGGAGGAGAAGGGATTGTGGCGTGACCATCCCCCCCCCGGGGGGGGTGATTTCTCGCTTTCTGTCTCTATGTCTCTCTCTGTCTGTCTGGTGAGCGCACGCACCCTATAGTGAAAACCTCTAAAAAAAGAAAAAAAAATAATTAATATGCTATTCCTAAACATTTTTGTTAAATACAATGATC